CACATTTTGTGTATAGGATATGATCAGAATAGGTCGAGTGGATCCTATTAAGACTAATAAATTTCAGTGGACTGAATGGAACATATAACCAAGATGATTTTCCTGCATCACGTTTACTCCATTTATTGTCCAATGTTAGGCCTTTTAGTCGTAACATCTTTAAGTTGTCTTTAAATTCGTCATAATCTGCAGACCTTTCTGAAACTTCGGCTCTCGTTTTTATTTTCTCTTGTTTTCTTAATATTTAATTGTATGTATGGGGACTTGGAGACAGTACACTGCATGTTTTCACTGTGTATCATGAGTCTGTTAAAGGAAAAAATCTTTCACATCTCTCCAGGAAGTTTATCACTAAGATAAACTAATATTTTACTTTTATCATCCACACAATATGTCGCCTAGAAAGACTTCAGTTTAACTTTGAATTTTTAGCTTGTCTTTGGCTGAAGCCTGTTCCATCAATTAAAAAAGAAGATCAGTCCATGTTATGAAACAGTTCACATCCTTGAAGCAGATATTTGACCGAATGTTGGCATCCATAGATCAAGTGTCAATCAACATGTGGCATAGTTCTCATTGTATGGTTCCACTATTTCACGACAGGAATTCTTAAACAGGAAACTCTTTATTAGGTATATCCCAGCTGAACTTTACCCTTGAATATCAACTACACATGTTTCCTGACTGCACTTCACTAGGATCGAATGTTAAGAATCAAGAGACACTGTTGGTTAAACTTTTATAGATTTTGAAATAGCATAAATCAGAACTCGTCTTCAACTCCATTATTACTTTTATCAATATAAACTAAACCGTTTACACTTGATAAACTCAGTAATATTACGTATTTATAATTTAAAATAGGACAATGTTAAGAAAAATAAGATGATTTACTACTCTCATCTAGATATTTAGAATAAAAATATTTTATCAACCTTCAGCTTGAGGACCTATAACGTTAGAATTAGAGGTTCGATCCTCGTGATAGACACAGTGCATGTAACCTATTGTGCAGCTTTGTACTAAATATGCAAAGCACACATATATATATATATATATATATACATATATGTGTTTATCAAAGTAATTGCAAGTGCACAATATGCAAGCTACAACTGGAGAATGTTTTAAAGTGTTTAAGTAATTATCTAAGATCATTTATGTAGGAAAACTGTTTATATGTTGCTTTACAGTTTGTCTTTAAACATTCTTTATTGTGTACATATCAAAACTCATTGTCACAAAATGAGCCAGAGAAAGGTGACCAGAAAACGCTTCTGACTCTTCACCCTCTAGGTATATTGAAATACAGTTATTACCATGTATGTTGTACTGTACCAAATTAAAGAAGAAAATACAACAAACTCTCATTTTCTGTAAGTTAGTTACTTTGGATTAGAATATTTTAGCTTCAATAAACGAGGATCTCCTGAAACGTTTCGAGTAACTTTGTTTAATATTGGTAGCTTTCCAAACTTCTTTTACATTGTTTATTATTATACTTTTATTTTAAATATTATTCTGCATTATTAGTTTAAAATACGTACTTAGGAATAACCTCAGTGATTCAGAGATAAGTCAGCAAGCTTACGACGCTAAGCATCGGGTTGCGATACCCGTGGTGGGCAGTGTACAGATTTGTCCAGCTTTGTGTTTAGCAACAACTATTATCCTAGGCTGGCCGACCCTCGTGAGATATTATTGTGCTCACAGTCGAAAATATCATGAACAGCGAGGGTATCTAACTGACGAAACTAGGCATTATAATTTTTCATATATAGAAACGTATATTTAATTAGCTATAGGAGGGCTAGGATTATTTTGAAATTTGCTGTAAGTACATAGCTTACTCTGATCGGAAGTTATTATTATTTGTATTTTATGAAATAAATATACATACATATATATATTATTGTTGGTAATATCGACAGGAAGTGCCCCCCCCCCCGTGGCACAACGGTAAGTCTGTGGACTTATAACGCTAGAAACCGGCTTTCGATACCCGTGGTGGGCACGGCACAGATAGCCCTTTGTGTAGCCTTGCGCTTAACTATAAACAAACAAACGACAGGAAGTAACAAAAAGAAACTTTCTCGAATTTTTTTATTACTGTTATAATTAGGCAGTTAACGCAGAGTCGTGCAGCTCACGGTGGAGCCTTCTAGTTGATAAAATTCAAAGTAAAGTCATGTCTAGTTCTATCACTGTCTTTTACTAGACAGAAAAGTCCAGAAAGGTTAAATCCTTACACTCTAGCTGACTCTAACCTTTTAATATGAATAAACTATGGGTCTTGACCTATGGTTGGGGTTGATCTATAGTATGACCCGCCCCCAGCGATTTTTAATAACTGTATCACTTCGAAAAGCTAACAAGCTGCGAAAACAACACAGGCATACTTACGACTATTCAGCTAAATGTTCAATGTGTTGTACTATAATGACAAATTAAACAAAATGAATTCAATAAGTAACTCGAAATCTAAGAATACTTCCATTTTGCCAATAAAAATGTTAATGAACTGCATATGGGAGGTTTACACACACACCCTCCCGGGCTTGGGACGGCCCTATGGTGGAGCCTTGTATTTCGGAGTTGCAGAAAAGGTTCGAATCTCTTTGATAACACAAAAATATCTCCTCTCCCCACTTTAAACTGCGGGTGAGTTATAAAGATGACAGTCAATCTCAAAGTTGGTAGTAAGGGGCTGAAGACTGGTTGCCTTTCCTCTTGTCAATAATTCAAAGCGCATAGCCTTTGTTAATTTTGAACTGACAGACTAGAGAGAAGGAGCTTGTCATGAGCACCCACTGTCAACTTGTGGGCTACTCTTGTTTGACTTTAACCGAATAGTAGATCTTAACCGTTACTTTAATATAGCCCCAGAGTGTAGAGCACGTTTTGCGATAACAGGATACAAACCACGAACCCTAAGATTCACAGTTTGCATACGCTAACCCCAAGGCTACGATCGGTCCTGAAGTGTAAAAATCGAGATATATTTTAAACAGCTATGTCGTTTCATACATGTTTAAATCTTATCCATACAACACTTGTTCTGGCATGATAGTTTAGTTATAATTCTCTAACGGACTACGAATAAACAGTATTATTCGTGGATAAAAAGATTTCTAAATGATTTACAGTTCGTTATTGGTTATCTACTCACATAACGTCGACACCCTTTTAGCTTTCAAATAAATCTAATAATATATCTTCATAATGATGTTTTTATATATATGTTTTTTTCCATAACTCATCATTTTGCATCGAACGCCATAAGAATTTAAACAAGACTTGGCAAATTGTGCCATAAATATTTATAGTATTTGTATTCTGCGATGAAAATTAAGTAAAAATAAACACAGGTATATTTTATAATCGTCGTTTGCCACAAATAAACCAATTTGTAATCTACTATAACAAACATACATCGATTATAATATACGAATTATCGGGACTCTTTCGAGAAACTTTTGTTCTTTATTCCTGAACGTTTTTTATATCAAAGCGGTTTAAACACATAACATAAAAAAATGGAAACGGCAGACGCAAATAGAGTCAGACCAATTAATTGACCGTTGCTTCTGCCAAAGTTTTGTCAATACTGTAAACATGTTCGGAAAAAATCACGTGATTTGATATGATAAAGATGCGTTGATTTTGGCCTTCGACTTCAAACAGCCTTTTCAAAGTGCAAACTGATAACGCCTTAATGTATACTCGTTTACCAAGTTTTACTAAAATCACACAAGTTAAAATGCAAATATGGCGATATTCTGCACTGCAAGCAGAAATCTATATAACATAGGTTTAAACTTTTCTTGACAAATGAGAACACTTTTAAAAGTTTTCCCAATTCATTTATTACTTTCAGTATTTTTCAGTATGTCTTGTAAACAAAAATGACGTAACCTACTACGATTAACGTGTGTTAATTTGTATATTCCACAAGAGTCAATCTATTCATAATATAGTTGAATTCCACTAAATCTAGCAGCATATTTTATGAAACATTCGCGAGAAACAAAAATGACGTAACCTACTACGATTAACGTGTGTTAACTTGTATATTCCACAAGAGTCAATCTATTCATAATATAGTTGAATTCCACTAAATCTAGCAGCATATCACTGCATTGTGCAAGTGTCACGAAATCTAGTGTATGATCCCCCCTCCCCCTCATATCATACCAAAACTTACACCTTGCCTATCCTGAAACATTTTTGTTTCTCGCGAATGTTTCATAAAATTTTTTTTTTTCTGTCAGGAAAAAGGCCAAACTTAAAAAGTATTGTGTTTTGGAAATGATAAACGAAAATTTGTGAAGTTGTTAAAATATTTTTCTGTTATGCAAGATTTGAGCAGTGGTTATCTTTAAAAGGAAAGGAAGGGTAATAAACTGATTAGTTTCTGCTTTGCATATTCAAACTCAAAACATAACGATGGTCATATTTAGTAGAAGGAACCCTTCAATCTTTATTGTGCAAAGATGAGATGTTCGTATTTTTCATTAGATTGTGTTACACCTAGTTCTACATATTTTAGCCAAGCCTACAATTCAATTCTGTAACTATGAAAAAACAACCTCAAAACCAAATACATCGCAGATAAAAAATAAATTCAACGAAGATAAAAAAGCATATATATATAAAACAAAGTTTTAACCTAGCACTGTAATCCATGGGATCTATTCTACGGATGATTAAAATTATCTGGCGATTGGCCCAAAAAAAAAAAGAAAGGAAAAAGTTGGTTGTTGGAGATTTTCAAGATTTGAAGTTAGAGAGGAGTCTATTGTACAATGTCAATCGTTTAGTTTTGTCATAACCTGTGAACACGCATTTTTATACCCGCTATTAGAGATTAATAATATTTCTGTTGTTACTAAAACTCGAATTGAGCTCGACGAAGCTTGAAGTCGAGATGTTATTGTTGTTCATAAAAATTTTAGTTTGTTGTCAAATAAATTCTTTAAGATTGTCTTTGCACTTGTACACCCCCCCCCCCCCCCACATACACACATAAATATTGATCCGAGTTTAGTGTGTTGGTTTGGAAAACAGGGTTCGAGACATGGTATCACTAAACATGCTTCGCACTTTTCAGCTGTGGGTGCGTTATAAGAGTGATAGTCAACCCACTACTTGACAAAGACTGGCAGAGGGTTTTGTCGACAGGTTGCCTTCCATGTTGTCCAAAGTTCAAAATTAGGAATAGATGTCTGAACCATATGAGTCTCTGAACTGGCTGTTCAGATCATTGAGTTTATAAGGTGTTGTTCCGAAAAACGAGGCCAAATAATATTAGAAACATCTGAAAATCAGACCTCGCGAATTTCTCTGTCAGCTACAGTGCATAGGAGTTCTAATTAAGGACTAATCCACTTCTAATTACAATGCCTATAAAATACTACAATCACTCTTGAGATTGCATTTATAATATGAACAACACACTTCATTAACAAAATCATCTCTGAATACACAACTTTCACCTGAACACTTCCCCATCCAAACCCACAGAAAAACAACCGATTATGATGGGAAAGAATTGTAGACAGCCTATCATCCTCATTATGAGACTGTTTCCTAATTGATGGATGAAACTAGTAACATCTAGTTGTCCGTCTTTCTGTCCACTTGACGGAATCAGTCACAACAGCGCCGAGTAGCCTAAACAGGAAAGCCAGATTTTCTATCAGTCATTACTGAGCTCTTTCCTGTCATTTTATAATGACTCATCGTAGAGAGGCTTTACGAGTTACGTTTTTAAGTAGTTGAAATAGGAATGAATTCCTAATAGAGCATCCTGAGGATGTGGAATGATCTATTCTATTTTACGACTAAGAAACGTCCCATGATATGTTCGATTCACTGGGTGCGAGATTAGTTCACTGATACCATTCATACGAAGAAACGTACATCAAAACGAAGAAAAACAGAAAATTCATGTGTTTATGCTAAAAGAAGCTTGTCAAACTTGCATCGAGGCTGGAATTCATCAAGCTTGTCGATAAATGGTTTAAACTACCTGCCCGAATTGACGGATGATTGTAAACTTGTCTCTCAACTCAGAGGAACGCTTAAATAAATGTAGAATAATCACTGAAGTAAATATCCCAAGAAAGGTCAGTTGACTGGAAGTTAGTTCAAGTGCTGTTGAAACACAAGATGTTATGATACTGTTATAAACAGCGTTTTGATGAAAGCTACCAATCACACCAAAGACAGTCCAGTAGATGTTGTTCTTGTTATTGTGGTCAAGGAAAACGTCACCGAAATCCCGATGCACAACTGTTGTCAGTTTTCCTAGATAGAATCATGAAATGGGCCATTATTACCAAGGTGACTTTACGAAGGTGTTTAAGGCCATTACATACATTAGGAGCGAGTCAGGCTGAAGTTCTCCAATAAAAAAAAAATAACTAAGGGATTCGAAATCAACTAAAAAAACTGCTCAGGACATGCTGAGCCAGGACCCGACTCGTATTTTAGTCACATCAACGTAATCACATGGAGGTTCTAATACGTGACATCCGTTAATCCAGCTTGACTGATGTACTCAACCTGCTATTATATACTGGTCATGCTATGTTGTAAGTTATGTTGATTCATTTATTCATAACGTTTTTCGTTTTGAAAGTCTGTCGGAATTTCCAACATTACAGTTGACCCAAACACCCTGTTACTAAATAGTTTTGTGTTTTGTTTTTTACCAAATTAAAAAATATAGTAACTAACTTTGGGCGAAAAAAAGGAAAGAAAGAAAAAAAACATATTCCATAGCGACCAAAGTTTCGGAGCTTGGAGTTACAATCGATTCTTCGGTTCCAGAAATATCAGTATCACTTTCTCCGCAACTTAACTGTCTTATCTGCACCCGAATCTCATAAAGAGGTCCTCGTACAAAGTTCTGTTGATAAAAATAAATTCTACTTAATTTATTAGTGATAAACAAATCAAGCACTAAATGCAAGTAAAATTAGAATCGATTATTTGTGGAAGAAAGATTTTTATTTTGAAGACCTGACCATGTGCCTAGAAGTAACATTAACATATGTCTCTTTTAGATGGTCACGTGCTGTGTCGACGTCAAGGACAGCCAGTCTGTATCATCTGGAAGCAATAAATAAAGAACTCAGTGATCCTAAAACCATCTACAGATAATGAAATTTGTTGGTCACTTTTATTTACTTGATTTTTTATGGAATAATTAACTAATCAATTAACAATCTACCGACTACTTTCTCGTGTATTCAGTTTCTATAAGAATATGAATGAATGAACTCGTGCATATAAAATAAAACAGGCTAGGTAGGTAAGGCCTCAGGCTAACCGTTTTCCTTGAACTGTTCTTGTCTACTTCATCAAGCCACGAGCTTGTAGTTGTCTTAGTTTCATTCATGAGCTGAGCGCTTCGGATGAGACTGGGCCTGGTATGGTGTGATAGTTAGGGCGCTCCACTCACAAACTGCGGGTTCGAATCCCATTGCCGAAAATGTTTGCTATTTCAGCCGCTGGCGCTTTACAATCCCATTATTCGATTAGAATAACTCAAGAGTTGGCGGTGTTGACCATCTGTCTTTCCATTAATCTATCACTTCTAAAGGAGGGACGGCTAGCGTAGATAGCCTTCGAATAGCTTTGTGCGACAATTAAACAAACATAAGGGACCAATTTTGTTATCATTCGCTGCACCATTGCTTTTGTAGTTTAGCAGTCAGCCGCCAGAACGTTTACCATAAAAAACGAACAATCGAATTAGCAACAAATCTTGCATCTTTCCTTTCTAACAACGTAACAGCTTTTCGAAGTCAATAAGTTCATAGTTGATCACTTATTTATTCTTCTAACAATTAATCAGTTTGCAGCACAAAGGGCACGTAGACGATTTAATGGTTTTTTTCCTTCTTTCTTTTGTACTTTTGCAGTTATTATGCTGCGTGTAAACGAAGACATTTCTGTTTATTCGAAATAATATGACATGTTATTTTAAAATAAAACAATAACACCATGAACTGCCTTTTAATTGGAAAGCTATTAAAGTTCCGGTTTGATGAATTACTACACTTCAAAAACATTGTACGAAAACAAAATGGAGAATGCGCTTTAATATTTATGCGAGAGTAGTTGTTTAACCAATAATATTTTATATTTTTGAAAATTATTGTTAGTAAAGGCATTACTTTAATACTCCTGTTCCAGGCTGTTATAAGTGTAATTTACCGATACAACGAACTACACCTAAAAAGAAACTGTGAATTCACACCCTTCGTAGGAGGAAAAAGTGATTTCACACTAACAATAGAATTATGAAGTATTAAACAGCAATATTTTTAGGAAATCATGATGTAGTTCATAAAAATAATTTAAACTAGAAATTTATATATTTTGAAGAGGAAGAACTACTGTTTTCTCAAAAAATTATGTTCGTAAAATTTTGTAATAATCGTAAAATTAATTTAATGTGAGTTATTTTATTTGATTTTCACACACGACTTTCCATCCTGTTTATAAATTCGCACGTTTACACGTATAGCAGGATTGTTAACTTTTATTTGTTCTAAATCTGCACTTCAGGAGCATGTTTGCTGGAATCGAACCCCTTATTTTATTAGAGCATATTCGTTTTAATATAAGTTACTTGACGAAAATAGTAAAGTTACCATAGCGATATCTTAAAAATTAGTGTATAGCGTGAGGTTAGTAAAGGCGGAACTGTACAGGTTGTAAATGGTGATATGTCGCTACTGTGGAAATTTGGTTTCATCAACAATACTAGCTGGGGGCGTATTAAAGGTGTCTGTGTAAAAGATGTCAATAAAACGTTTCAGGACGTATATAATCAACTATCGAGTATCTTTGCTAGGACACAAAGAAGCAATCGGAGTCGGCATTTCTCCACTATATAACGTGTGTTTTCAGTAATTATAGCCTTTGTAACGGTGGATGGTTCTACACAAAACCCTATAGAACATAAATCTTAAATTTGTCCGTTTCTTCGAGATATTCAAAACCACTGCCGTTTGATAAAACTGTTTCTTTTACATTTTACACATCACCTACCATTTGCTGTTAAAATACTGTTACTGGCTAAATTTTTTTGTTGTTTATTGATTTTTTTAAATGATTTATAATTTCTCGCACAACTTCTCTAAACTGTAAATTTGTTTAATAATGATTTACATAGCAACTACTTTGACTTAATACTGATTGAAGTAAAACTATGTTTTTTAATCAAAAACAATCATGGCTTAAAATCGTTGTGTAAAACAAGAAAAAATATCGCCACAATGTTTTCGGTACAATACACCTATAAAAAGTGTTGTACTGTATTTTGTATTTACGGCAAACTTACTAAGGTTATCTGCCGCTGTCCCTAATCCACGATAAGGGATTGACTGTAATTCTTATAACGCACCCACAGCTTAAAGTGTGGGGAATTTTTTATGGTATTGCGCGGATTCGAACTGCTCCCAGGTAGGCAAGTGTCAGTAAAAGCGGGAAGAAGTTTTTATAGATCCTTAGTTAACATAATTTGAATACAAATGATATATATATATGTGAAAAACATAAGCGACTGCTTGTCACCGTTTCTATGACTACCAACTTGTAGTTACTAATGTCTTCCATTCACGTTATAATGTGTTATTGATTACAATAACAATACAAATGATATACATATAT